AGCCTTTTATTAGGCCTGATGTTGCAGCATCAGGAAGGCCACACAACTTTGGCTTGATCCCCTCAGCAAATCTTTTCAGTTGCCCTCACTTCCAAATAACCCGGAGGTTAAAGAGATCCACTCTGAATTTATCTGTTTCTTAACTTTGCATTCACGTTATCCTCAGTCTCCAGTGACTCTTGTTACGTTAAGTCAGGTCACAGCACTCTTCTCAGATCCAGTGGCTTTTTATCCCATCCAGAGTATGATCCTATGTTCTTCCCCAGTCTTTTCTCCTTTAGAAATAACAGACTTCTTGTTAATCCTTCAGGGCCTTTGCATACACCATTCCCTTTGCCTGGAGTGTTCTTCTGTCAGTTAATGTATTCTTGCTTCTTTCCTGCTTTAGGTACTTATGCAAAATCACACTTCTCAGGGAGGCTTTCTTTGGCTGAGGATCTAAACTTAGCATCCCTATGCACCCTTTTGTGATTTTCTTTGGAAGCATTTAACCCAGCACACTGTGTGATCTGCTTATTTTTACCTATACTGTCTCTCCTACTGTAGCTTCATAAAGCCGACATTCTTGTGTATCTTTTCTCGTAGGGTAGAAACTGGTACACAGTGTAAATGCAATAAAAATTAATTGAATGACTGAAAAGAATGGCTGAACAGAAGAAACAGAGACTTAAAGTATGATTAAAGAGGAACTGTACACTGAACATACAAAAAAATGACCATGTATTTTCATGGAACTTTCTCTCTCCTAAGAACAGGCTTGACCTTTCCTTTGTAAAATGAAACCTTTTTTAAAGACAAGGTTTCATGTAGCTCAGATTGGCCTTAAAATCCATGTGGAATAAGGATGACCTCGAAGTTATGATTCTTTTCTCCCTCTTCCCAAGTGTGGGATTCCAAGCATGTGCCATCATGCCTGATACAACATGAAACCCTAGACATGAGTGTTCAAGAAGAAAGAATGTTGATAAATACAGATGGGTATTAAACAGTGTCAGTTGGATGAGCTAATGAGTTTTAAAAATTATTACTACACAGAGCTTACTACACATAGAGAACTAAAATTAAAAATGAAAAAAAAGCTCATTGATTGAATTAGCAGTGTCTGGCACACAGTAATATATAAAGTAAGTTGGACTTGGATGCCTTCCAAAGAGGCTTAGTTAGGGAAGCAGTTTTATTTCCAAAGTGATTCTATAGTACAGGCATGATGTTTAGGCTGACTACGGTTAAATGCACGGATGAAGGAGAGTAATGAAGATGCTATTTTTAGTTCCGAAGAGCTTTAGTTGTTATTCCTTATCAGTGTCCAAGATACACAGGGAATACAGAGACTATAAATTTCCACACAGACTATACAAAAAGACAGAATGCTAGGAGGAAAGACAACTCTGGAAGACCTGGGCTCCAGCCTTCATTATGCCTCCAACTGGCTGTGTGATCAGGGGTCAGCTATTCAAACTCTTGGTCATCTCATCTGTAAATGTGAGGATGGACTGAAAAGATCCAAAGGTTCCCCAAGTTCCCTAAGAGATGGTTATTTGGTGTCCATATTACAGTGTTTGTAAAATATTCTTAAAAGATATTCATATTCTAATCTCTACAACTTGCAAATATATTGTATACCAGCAAGGGAATATTAGGCAATGAATAAGCCAATAGGAAACTATAAAGGAAGGCGATTATCTTGAGCTACCTGGCTGGGATCAATGTAATCACAAGGGTTCTTTTTTTATTCATTATTATTTTTATGTGCATTGGTGTTTGACCTGCTTGTCTGTGAGGGAGTCGGATCCACTGAAACTTGAGTTACTGTCAGTTGTGAGCTGCCATGTTAGTGCTGGGAATCGAACCTGGATCCTCTGGAAGAGCAGCCAGTGCTCTTGATACTGAGCCATCTCTCTAGCCCCCACAAGGGTTTTCACAGTGCACATGGAGTAAGAGTCAGAAAGATGCCATCTTTGACTATGCAGATGAAGAGGTCTTGATGAAATCAGTACAGAGAAGGTACAAAAAGTGAAAAAACCAAATTCTTCCCAATACCCCTCAGAAAGGAAGCCTATCCTACTGACACCTTGATTTTAGTTCAGTGAGTGCTAAGCCAGGCTGACCGCCAGAGCTACACTAATATGAAGTCAATTACATCCGTGGCAAATTGTTTCAGCAGCAATAGGAAAGTAATACACTCATGACACATCTGTAACTAACAGAGCCAGACGCAATTTTATGCAGAGATCTGAGTGAATGAATCTGGATGACATATCTATAAACTGAGGGGCTTGGACCAATATCCCCTAAACCCTCTCGATTTCTGAAATAAGACTTTAAAATTCCGACATCATAAACTTAGCCTTTTCCACTGCTTATTCCCCACGCCCTGAGCCTGAGGAGTAAGCACCACAGACGGTACTGAGGTCTCTGCAGTATTTGCTGGTCAAGATTCACAGAAGGTGCTGGACTGAGCTCAGGACTTTTCACAAGCACAACTGAGTAACAACCCCTCAACTTGGTATGTTTTTGATGGAACTATTTCTAAAGTTAAACATACTCCCCATATTTATATAAAATGAATACTGCATTTTATCTTTTCTTGAAGAACCACCACTAGAAATATCAATTACTTATGATGGGCTCTGAGAGGATGACATTGTACCTTGTCATAAGTTATGCCAAGACAGACATGACTGTGACCGTTTTTAGTGGCAGACAATGTAGTTATAGTTTGAGACACTTGGTCAGGAGGCTTATGAATGTTTTTCTAGAGAAGTCAGCACACGTTCCTATAAGCTCCAGACAGTAAATGTTTAAGTTTGGTATGTCATACATGGTCTAGGTTACATTTTTAAAGTAACCTTTTAGAAATGTCATAAATCATTCCTACCTCCCAAGTGATACAGAAAGCCTGCAGCTCAAATATTTCTGAAAAATCAAAATTTAAAATTTGGAGTCAGACATGGTGGTGTAGGATAGCAAGGTCAAGGCCTGCCTGAGTTACACAGTCCAAGTCTAGCATGGGGACTTCGTGAGACTCTGTCTTAAAGAATAAAAGGTTAGGAGTGTAGTTCAATGGTAAAGTGCTCGCTCACTTGGCATGCAAGGCCCTGGGTTCAATTCCAGCACCACACATACAAAAGTGTGTCAAATTAAATTATTTGAAATTCTCTTGCTATTGCTACACTTTTAAAAGTGATTTTTAAATTTTCAATTTGTGTGTGTGTGTGTGTGGGGGGGGTTTGGGTACAGGAATGCAGTGTCCTCAGAGGCTAGGTGTGGGATCTCCTGGGGCTGGATTACTGGTGCCTGTGAAACAGTGATCCTAACTGTTGAGCCATCGGCTCCAGTCCCTGCATTGTAGCATCTGAGGTTTCTGTCAATCACAGCTGCCCCTACTAGTCTCCTTTTGGGTTCCATCCTTTGACGTCGAGTTGATAATTTGATAACATATATTTATCTGTCCTGTCTATTGCATGTGTATGTGTGCATCACACAGGTAGAAGGAAGTCAGAGAACTCCCAAGAGTCAGTTTTTGTCCTTCCACCACAGTGGGCTCCAGGGACTGAACCCAGGTCATCAGGTTGCGGACAAGCACCTTTACCCCCTAAGCCAGCGGTTCTCAACCTTCCCAGTGCTGTGATCCTTTAATACAGTTCCTCATGTCATGGTGACCTCCAACCATCAAACTTTTTCATTGCAATTTCATAGCTGTAATTTTGCTATTAAGGACCATAACATAAATATCTGATATTAGACCCCCAAAAGGTGGCGACCCACAGGTTTGGAACCACTGTCCTAAGCCATCTTGATGTCCCTGATAACAATTTGTAATTATTTTTAGCCAGACTAAGTTAGATATATGATGACCCTGGAGCTATTTTTAAAAGTAGATATAGGTAGTTTGGTTACTTTGATTACTCCAAGGCCTTATTTCAAGGTTCTCTCTTATCATCTGGGAAAAGGTTTCGGTCTTCTAGCTCAACTATTTTCATTTAGCATCATTTTCATCACTATTTGATCAAAGAGTTTTAGTAGTTATAATTCTTAGGTTTTGTTTTTTTCTTTTTTCGGACTCCCACTTGGGTTTACCACCAAGTTGACCCACGCTTGCATTTCCACACAAAAATCAACTGTAAATATGAAACTCTGCAGGAATGCCAGCAATCGACAGAGTGAAAAGGTGTCTTTTGCCTCGAGCCTTATTTCACACGTGTTCAATCGGGTATGTCTGGTTGACCAAACACTTTTTGTAGTCCTCATAACAACCCTGTAAATTAGGTCAGTTCTCTTAGAGGTTAAAATATCATAGGACAGCCTGGCCAAAAAAACCAGGTGCAGGTGTTTGGGGAGGGAGGAGTGGGGTGTCTTTTGGCATCAGAGCTGTCATTCAGTGGCGCCCAGTCCCTTCCCTTGTCATTGACTTCCAGACTTGAATTTTGCCTTTTCCACGTCAGAAGCCGCGCTGTGGAAAACCCGAAGCTCACAGCAGAACTCCACGGTGGGTGCCCACAGATCCGAGGCCCGAGCACCCAACAGTGTGGTTCGCCCTCCCGAGACCCTGCGCTGCAGCCCCGCACTAACCTGACCAGGTCGGTCATGCAGGAACCCACCACCACCACTGCTGCCGCCACCTCCTCCTGCCAGGGCCTCCCGGGCTCCCCAGACGCCGCCATTACTAAGCCTTGCTCTAGCTCGACCCCGACGCTGCCCTTTGCCCTTTGCCTGAACCCGTAACCAGAGACGCCGCTCCTTCCTCCCTAACGACGAGGCCGGTCCCCCACGCCTGTTTGGGTCGCCCACCCTAATGCCCGTGAAACATCCCCGGCCTCCGGCGGCTCCCGGTTCTTCTAAGACCCATGTTCTCGCCCCGCCTCACGGCACAGGGCTCAGCCGCCACGGCGAGAGGCGACGTTGCTCGCCCGGCTGGAGGAGGCCGCCGCGGCGAACCTTCAGGCACTACCGGGCCGCCTTCCCTAGCTTCCGGCTGGGCTCGGCGCGGGCACGCGCACGCCCGCCCGGCTCCGGAGGGGGCGCGGGACGTCCGGGGGAGCGCGCACGCATCCGGCCCGCGATTCGCGCGCTGGTCGGTGCGTCGGTCGGGGGCGCGCTCGGGTAACCTGTACCCCGTCTAGTCGCCGGTTACTGATCGGACTAAGTTCCAGGTACCTGGACCCGGGCTGGTGCGGGGAGGTTGGATCTCAGTCGCACAGGTGGCGCAGAGAGCCATGTTTGAGTATGGCCAGAGAGCTAGCCTCTTCCTCAAGAGAAGGCCCGCGTTCCAAAGATGCCCCGCTCGCCCCCAGCACGCGGATCCCCTCAAGAACGAGCCCCCAAGACCCGAGGCTACTCTCTCTTTCTCTCTCTCTCTCTCCACACATCTTGCTCACTCCTGGTCCCTGATGAACCTTGCTTCTTTTTGCGCTTGATGGGGGGGAAATCATACAATTTGGGAGAAAGGGTCGGATCCCTTTAGGTTTTCCTCAGAATGGGTGGCCGGCCATTCTTTGGATCGGAACCGGTTCGCTCTCACCGTCCCTCCCCGATGTTGCCCAGTGGAGAAATTGCTCCCCCAACGTAACTTCCCTCGTGCGCCATATGACGTGAACGTGATGCAGCAGGAGGCCACCCCTTTCCGTTCCATGACGTCAACGGGGCACATGTTTCCGTGTTTGTCATCCTCCTAATTGCAAAAGCCTGGTCGGTGCTTGTTATACGTCTTTGTATTCCCTAGATAGCCAGCCCACCGAAAGACCTCATGCGACCTTACCTTGCGGCAGCAGATATCTATAAATATTATACATTTGCATTTTCCTCCTGAAATACGTCAAAATCAGGAAAGAAATACAAATTGCAAAACAAGGATTCAAGAAAGCTGGCCACCAAAAATTCCTGCCTCTGTGAGATCCGTTATAATGATGCCATGTGTAAAAGAGTGTGTGTGTGTGTGGGGGGGGGGGTATGTTTCCAACCCATACATATCCCTGCATATTGTACCAAAGGACCATTATTTTTTCCTTCAAATTTCTGGTTTTGGAGTCAGTATAGTTTTCCCTCTTTGTTAGAGAATTCCCACTTCAAAACTGAAACATCTAAGAGCTGCACAAAACCTTGCACAGTCAAAAATTATGTATTTTTGGCCGCTCTGGAAATAAAGACAGAAATTCATTCCCTCAGGTGCGATCCGGAAGTCTTGACACCTGCTGCAGTGGAAGTGGCTGTCATAATCACTAGCGTGGTTTGGCGTCTGCAGTCAGCTTGTTTCTTTTGGCATTTAGCTAGTGAATCAGTCAGGCTGGCATTAGCCCTCGGTCAGCAATAGTCTAGTTGGTTTCTAGTTGTAAAGCAATCATGTGAATAAATTCCTGACCATGTCCTCAATTTTGACAAGGTGTGCGCTTTAAAAAGTAAAAATTAAAAAAAGTGTTAATATCAAAAAAAAAGAAAAAAAATTAAAACTGCACCTTGATGCTTTCTGCAGTGGCCAATGAAATGAGTGCTTGAGAGGAAAGCAGGAATAGCGGACTTTGAGAGAGGTCTGGATTTGAATTCTAATCCTTCTGTTTGCTCTATGTGTGACGTTAAGTCACTTGGTCTTGCTGGCCTTTAATTTTGTATTTATAAAATGGAAACAATAGTCATTAAGAAACTGCTTTGTGTGTGTATGTGGGGGGGAGGGTTGGATAGCTGTCCAGAGCGGTGAATAATAGCTCACGTGTGATGCTTAGAATGTGCTAGTTTTGTTTCTATTTCTTAAGAAATCTGAGGTAAAATGGTAGGTACTGAGGGGAAAAAATCATGACAAAAATCATTTGTTGTCATGAGAGATCTTTCTGTTTGCTTCTACCAGATATCTATTCCTGTGGTGGAAATAAGCATCCCCTTCAGGAGCCGTGAAATCAGGTAGAAGCACTGCAGAATTTAGAAAGAAAAGTCGTCACGGTGATAGTATATTATTCAAAAAACAGTTACCCGTGTCATCTGGGAAATGGGAACTAGAAACCGGCCTTAGACAGGCTATGGATGGCAACACCGCGTGTAGAAGTGCTTTAGGAGTGATGCGATGCTACGAAATGTGTATTCTTTTATGATAGCTAGTGCAGCAGAGGAAGCATTTGCTCTCGCTTGTGATGATGCATTAGAATGGGATTGGGAAGGCGTCTCCCAAGGAGTTAGACAAGAATCACGTGGAACTAAATCATGTGATATAAAGCTTGGCCATTTCAGAAGTATTTCTGGGTGGCATCGTGGTGTCACCATGGTGTTTTCTGGAAAGATCTCTATCGTCATTCCTTTATTACTATTCAAAAATGATAAACAAGTATTCAATTTAGCAGAGCTTGTAAGTCCTTATGTGCCACAGTGTGTAGAAACTGGAACCAGAACAGCAGGTACTCATAATTGGAACTGGGTGGAAATTAATTAGCTCTCAATGTGGAATTAACCTTTCAGTTTGAGAAAGACAACGATCATTTGAATTGACTTATTCACCTCTAAAGTAGCAGCTTTCATTTAGAAGACTATTAGGAATTCATGCACTCTCTCCTCCGGCTTTTTTAATATCCAAGCAGTGTTGATGTGATTTATTGCACATTAGTGTATTATCAAGGGTATAGATGTTGTGGCGTAGTACCTTCAAATTAAAGACAAAAAGACACAATTACTTTTTGGTGCTTAGTATCTAGACAGGAGTATGTTTTTATAATTTAAGTGTTAAGTACATTTTTTTTGCTTCACTTATTCCTCAGATTCTACTGTATTTATTTCTGTCATTTGTGTATATGTGTATGTGCCTGGTATATTTGTGTGTATATGTATAGTGTATGTGTGTACATGGTATATTTGTATGTATATGTGTAGTGTATGTGTGTGTGCATATGTATAGTGTATGTGTGTTTGCATGGTATATTTGTGTGTATATGTATAGTGTATGTGTGTGTGCATGGTCTGTTTGTGTGTATAGATATAGTGTGTGTGTGCATGATATATTTGTATGTATATGTATAGTGTATGTGTGTTTGCATGGTATATTTGTGTGTATATGTATAGTGTATGTGTGTGTGCATGGTCTGTTTGTGTGTATAGATATAGTGTGTGTGTGCATGATATATTTGTATGTATATGTATAGTGTATGTGTGTTTGCATGGTATATTTGTGTGTATATGTATAGTGTATGTGTGTGCATGGTCTATTTGTGTGTATAGATATAGTGTGTGTGTGTGCATGATATATTTGTGTGTATATGTATAGTGTCTGTGTCTGCTGCAAGCCTGAGTGCTGGGTTACATATGTGTGTCTCTGGGACTGGCTTTTATGTGGTTGCTGTGGGTCTGAAATCATGCATGTTCATACATGCTCAGCAAGCCTTTTACTCACTGAACCATTTCCTTAGGTGCCCCTCACCCTATCAGTTTTTGAGGGTATACTCTCTCCATTCCTAAATATTTCTCCAGCTTTGCTCCCCTTAATCATTTACTTAAAATATTTTTGAGGTTTATTTTTATTAAATCTATTATTTGAGCCCATATTCTGAGCATGGGTCTCAGGTATAGACCTGACCAGTATCCACGGTCCTGGCCAGTAGTTAATAAAGCTTGCTTCAAATTTGGCTAAAAATCTATTATTTGAACTTACCACTTTATTTATTATTGAAATGTTACTGGATGCTAAGTGTATGTTGAATGCATTTGTTGATGTGAGACTTTTGTGTTGTAGTCTTGTTGGAGAGAGTTCATGTATACAGGTAATTACAATCCATCATGGAAGGACTTATTAAGAAAGGGATTCAGCCATAAATGGTTTCTAGTAAGTAATAATTGGTTGTGTTTGCTTTAGAGTTGGTGTGTTGTCACCCATCAAGCTCTTTGTCCTTGTGGGGACATGGATGGAGGGCTTCCTAACTCAGCGGCGTGTGTTTTGTGTGTCACTAGGAAGGGAAGGCTTCTCCATCTCGGCCGGTTGTGTTGTGCAGCTGTGAAGCTTAAGGGGCCTGTGCTGTCGTCTTTGGAAAGGAGGAGGGAATTGTTCTTCAAGGGTTCCTTTCATTCCTGAACAGCATGGAGCTGCCCATGCCCTGACTGTCTGAGCAGCAGGGATCTGGTTTCTGAGCACCGTGCTAGCTTCCAGGAAACTTGGTACGTCTTTATCTCTGTATTGTATCTGGTATACTGATCACTTTACTTTCTTTCTGCTTTCAGTGGTGATTCATAAATCAAGTTAAAATGTCTCCAGAAATTGCCTTGAACCGGATTTCTCCAATGCTGTCCCCATTCATATCTAGCGTGGTCCGAAATGGAAAGGTGGGGCTGGATGCTACAAACTGTTTGAGAATAACGGACTTGAAGTCTGGGTATGTACAGAGCTAACTCGGCCTTTGCTTTACAATAAACCTTTCTTACCGGAGTCATTAAAATTGTCCATCACAGGTAGCTTTCAAGTCTTGCTCTCATTACTGGCTAATCTAGTTGAGTTAAAAAAATGTTTGCGTGTGTTTCAATATGCACGCTGAAGATTGAACTCAGAGTCTCACACATTCTAGTGAAGAACTTGACCAAAGAGTTACATGCCATTTCCCAATTCATTTGGTTTTGTTTAATTTTTGACATTTTACCTATTTCATAAGTGTATGTGTCCATGCGTGGACATTTATTTCTATTGGGACCGCTCATGCATTCTTTTCTGGCTTATCTCTTTGGGTTTCAGCGTGTGTGTTCTTCTTTCATTGGCTTGTTTTCTTGTTTACTGCAACCTGACATATACTGTACGAATTGGGTGTAGAGCTGCCTTGTCTGCCATCATTTGGTAATCTCCCTTAATACAAAAATGGCAATAGCTAACCAGAATGGGTCACTCTTCACAATGGGGTTAAAACGTCCAGTCTCACACCCGGATATGTTGTATTAAATAGAAAACAAAAAACCCATAAACAAAACAAAAAAGAAAAAAAGAAAAATGAAGTGGGAAAGCCTGCCATACATTTCATCTGGAAATAAAATTAGATCTACAGAAAAGATGGAAAAATATTATAGGAAATTGCAGTAGTAATCTTGGTTGTCAACTTGACAGACCTAGGAAGAGGGACCCTCAGTTGAATTGCCTCTATAAGACTGACCTGTGGGCATGTCTGAAGGGCATTTTCATGATTTTCAAATGGTGGAGGAAGAAGGCTCAGTCTGGTAGGCAGAGCCATCTCTGGGCATGTCAGCCTGCGCTGTATGAGAAGTTTGCTGGCAATATCCTGGGGGAGCAAGCTAGCAGTCAGCACCCCTCCAGGTCTGGCTCTCGTCTCAGTTCTTACTTCCGGGTTCCCGCTTGTGTTCCTGCCCTTGCTTCCCTCAGTGATGGTCTCGAGCCTGGAAGGTGTAATAAGCCCACCCTTAGACTGTTTGTGGCCAGTGTTTCTCAGAGCACCAGAGAAGCAAAGTAGGACAGAAATTCACATTGTTTTTACCATTATTGATCATTTTATAGCTCTTATTTGAGATTAGCTGTTTTCCTCTTTTGTGGACAAAGATTAATCCAGAATACAAATTGTATTTAATTGTCAGTATTCTCAGTTTCTCTAGCTTGTCTTTCTCTCTTTTTTTAAGTCTTTCTTTGTCTTGAATGACATAGACATTCTTTGATTTTTGTTTTGTTTCTCAAGACAGAGTTTTTCTGTGTAACAGCCCTAGCTGTCCTAGAACTCACTCTGTTGACCAGGCTGGCCTTGAACTCACAGACGTCCACCTGCCTGTGCCTCTCAAGTGTGGGGATTAAAGGTGTGTGCCACCAACGCCCAGCTTGACCTTGGCATTCTTAAAGAATATTGGCTAGATATTTTGTGATCTTTCCCTCTCTCTATACTACGCTTTCTTGCATTCAAATCAGAATGTACCCGTTCCCCAAGAGCTATAGCGGTGTTGTTCCACCTCAGCACATCCCATGCATGGCTATATGATGGCCATGTCCTTTTATGTCATCCTCCTGCCTCAGCCTCCTGAGTAGCTGTGATAACAGACACCACAGCCACTCAACCATGCAACCAGGAGGTGAGACCTCAACACTGCAGTGTGCTTGACACATTAGGCACATTTTATACATTTTTAATATATGATCGTCCCAATTTCTGATGTGTTTAGTGGGTGTACCCTCTTTGTAAGCCAGGGAGTAAAATATCTCATTATTGGTTCCCAGCGTTTGTCTTTGGGAGGTCTGTCAAGTGACTTTTTGATGTTTTGACATTTCCTCATTTTTTTCTTACTAGAAATACCACTTTGTGTGTGTGTATGTGTGTATGTGTGTGTGTGTGTGAGAGAGAGAGAGAGCGAGAGAAAGCAAGCAAACAAGGCGAGAGAGAGAGAGAGAGAGAGAGAGAGAGAGAGAGAGAGAGAGCGCAAACAAGGTTTTATTGAGAAGTGCAGCAACAGCATCAGAGAGGGGTCCAGGAGATGAGTGGCCTCATATGTTACATTTTTGTTTTTTTTTTTAGTTATACTTATTAGGCTGTTTATCTTATTATATTGTATCTATTTATATTTCATCTGTCTCTGTATGTGAACATGTATATACCCCAATGCATATGTGGAAGTAGAGGACAACCTGAGTCCCAGGATTGATCTCAGGTCGTCAGGCTTGCACGGCAAGTGCTTTTTTTACGCACTGAACCATTTCGTTGACTAGCGTTTCTCTTTTCTCTTTCTTTTAGACCTGTAGTGCTCAGGGTTATGGGCTATAGTTGAGATCCATATTCTAATTTTTGTTTACTCCATGTAGGGCACAGTGCACACAGAAAGTATCATCTAAGGAGACATTTTGGAGGTTATAAGGACAATCTTGTTAGTGATTGAAGAGATGCTATTTTAGTACCCATTTTCCTTATTTGATTGATAAGCTGAACAGACAGGTAAGATCCAAATAAAAGCAAGATTCTTTTTTTTTTTAAAGTGTGATAATTCATCCTCACTTCCCTTATGGACCTTTTATTTTTCTGTATCTTTAGGACTATGTGCACTTCTAAGCTCCATCGCTAGGCCATCAGTCTTAAGGACGGAGATCTTACTGAACTTATTTGTATGCTTCTGTGAGTTTGCCATGGTGCCTCATGGGCTAAGCGAGTGGGTGATGGGATAGGTGTTTCACAGAGAGGCTACTTGCTTACAGGGCCAGAGTAGTTTTGTTCTTGTAGCTTGGGAGACTTTTTATTGTCTTGTTAACATAATTAATTCTATTATACATCATTCTAAAAATTCACATTCCCTGACAAACAGGCAGATACTCTTGAAATTATAGCAAAAATATATTACAGCATTAGATTTATTTTTTTAAAAATTTTACACTTATTTACATGTTTTTAGATTTATTTATTTTGTTTTATGCATTTGAGTTTTTGCCTGAATGTACATATGGGCACTATGTGCATGCCTGGTGCCGTAGAGGCTGGAAGAAGGTGTTAGATCCGTTGAACTGGAGTTAGCATAGGGTCGTGAACCATGATGTGGTACTAGGAACCAAGTTCCTGGGTTCTCTGCAAGAGCAACAAGTGTTCTTAACCACTGAGCCATCTCACCAACTCCAGATTTATCCCTTTAGATAGAATATATATACTGAGACCCAAGGGGCCGCTGTTAATGACAGGGAATTTTCCCATGAACGTTCTGAAGTTGTGTGGTAACTTCACCGGCTTGTTCTATTTGCAGGATGCCGTACTTAGTCATTTTTAGTGAGTTTAGTAATCTTGATGTTGTCTAAGTGTCTGATCAGCACTCTGTGATGATGCCTGGCAAGTCTAATGGGGAAAGCAGCTCCCTGCAACCTGTGGCAGCTGAGCCTTAATAGCCTTTTTTGGCATATTGCAAGTGACTCAACCCCACTGGCACATGGCTGTGTTTGGGGCATCTGCTGTGACATCTCATCCACCCACAAGTACCTGTTGCATTTTTTTGGTGCATGTTCTGAATTTTGTTACTTAGTTAAAAATAGATACTCAGTGTAAGTACTTGATTACTAAAGAGGGTAATTTTAAACGATGAGTGGTGTGCGCTCTTATGATTGAGCTCAGTTGGGCTGCGTCTGTCTCTAGCTTGCTTAGTCTGTCTGGAAGGAAGCTGCTGTTCTGGAAGGCAACAGGTCCATTTAAAGATGGCAGTTTTAATATTTTAGCATGTAGATGTTCACTTGGCTCTTCACATTGCTTCTTTCTTTTAATCTCATTCTTTCTCCCTGAGCATGTCTTCATTTTCTCTCTCTCTCTCTCTCTCTCTCTCTCTCTCTCTCTCTCTCTCTCTTGCACGCGCTCTCTCTCTCTCTTGCGCGCGCTCTCTCTCTCTATACACACACACACATATATATATATACATATGTACATATACATATACAGGCCCTCTCTACATTGCCTGTCTTGAAACTCACTATGCTTCTCACCTGGCCATACTTTATATATTTACTATGCATAAATATGTCTCCAAACAGTATCTTATTTTGCATGTGTAAAAAGTGTTTCCAAGTGATATACTCTATATATTCATGTGAAATTTTCTTGTTTTGCTATTTTTTCCTTTTTTTCATTAAAAACATTTTTTGAGACATGGTCTCACTATATTGTCTAGGCTGGTCTTGAACTCACTTGAATTCTTCTTCAGCCTCCTAAGTGCTGGGTTTATAGTCAGTGCACTACCATGCCTGGTTTATCTAGTTTTAAGCTGGTAAGATTTGTATTCATAGACAGAGACATAATTCTTTCATTTGATTTAGTATATCATAGTCCACTGTGTGAATATGATCCCTATTTTAAATTAATATTTATTAATTTTTTATTTATCCCTTGACAATTTCATATGTATATATAATACATCTTTACCATGCACACCCATAACTCCCTTATTCTATTCCCCACAAACATGTCCTCAGCATGTCTCTCCCACTTTGAAATAGCCTCAGTTTTAATTCATTATTAAATTTTTTTTTCTGACAAAGAATGCCATAGTGAACATTCTGTTGTGTCCATACAGGAAGATGCTCATGAGAACATTGTCTCAGGCGGAATCTCTCCACCTGGGTATGTTTATCTATTAGTTCTGTAAAAGCAAGACAGTGAGTCATAACAACATTCAAGAAGGGGAAACAAGCCAGCGTGGAAACTCTAAGAACATGTCATGTGGAGTAAGGATGAAGAGTATTTTGCGAATTTTCAGTAAAATAAGTAGAAGTGTACTGGGTGGGTCATAGTGAAAAAATACGTGTGATGATGGAAACGTCTGTCAGCTGCTCCTTGATCCTCTATTCCTAGGAATACAGTTACTCACTCCTAGACTGTGTGTAGCTTTTTTGTTTTTGGCTGTAGCCACATAGTTAAGTGTCTGTTTCCTTTTA